CGCCTGGCTATTTTTTGTTGCAGTTGCCACTGCTGTTTTAGCTGGCCAGGGCCGGGCTGGAACCTGCCACCCTCGGTGTATGGGACCAGCGCTCACCCACTGAGCCACAGGCACTGCCATATTTTTAAAAATCTAAAAAAACTCTAATCTGAAATATAGAATGAGAACGTCTTCACTTTGGACTTATCATGGCTGGGAGGTGTGAAGTTCAGTGCTCAGTTCTGTCTTCCTAGCTTCCTTTCAGCGTGGCTCCCCAGGGTGAGAGAGCCCACTGTCCCACAGAAAGCGGGCAGTGCAGCTAACTCTAATCCCTAACTTTAACCGGTGACCTCAGGGGTCTGTGTGAGCAGAGCAGGAGCTGTTGTTGCCCCCTCTGTTCACTTCCCTGTGACCTCTCTTCTGTAGAAACCACCACAGAATCTCACCTAGGGCAGATTCTCCTCCCAGGGTGCCTCGCAGCAAGAGCTCTTTCCCTCTTCATCTTTGTCCTCACCAGCAATGGTTTGTTGTCTTCAAAAATAAGCATCATTTAAAATAAAAAAAGCATTGTCATCTGGGTGTTGACATTTGTTGGAGTAAAAGATGTCTTAGAAGTTGTGGGGTAAGGCGGGGACAGCCACGGACTTCCTGCCTGTGGGCTGTCTGGTGTCTCCTCTGCCTGTCATGGAAGCTGTGTGTGGGCAGCACATGGACCAGGAAGGAGAGCTGGCAAGCTCCCTGGCAGGTAGACAGAGGGGCCGCTGCTCCTGCTGGGATGATGAGGAGGAAGGGTACTGCTCCTGGGCATGCCTGTGCGCTTATAGATGTGCACTGAAGTGTGAATCTTTAATTCTGATTCTGGTCTTTCAGGTGGAAAGAAAACTCACTTTTGAGAAATTCATGGCCTGGACCAAGCCAGAGTCGATGAAGAGTACTGACGTGGAAGTTCTCCTTCCAAAATTTAAATTGCAAGAGGCTTATGACATGGAAACTGTACTTCAGCGTTTGGGAATGGTAGATGCCTTTCAACAGGGCAAGGCTGACTTGTCAGCAATGGCAGTGGAGACAGACCTGTGTCTGTCCAAGTTTGTGCACAAGAGTTTTGTGGAGGTGAATGAGGAAGGTACAGAGGCTGCGGCAGCCTCGGGCTTATTGGTTATACAGGATTGTATGGAATCTGGACCAAGGTTCTGTGCTGACCACCCCTTCCTTTTCTTCATCAGGCACAATACAGCCAACAGCCTTCTGTTCTGTGGTAGGTTCTCATCTCCGTAAGGGGTGTGCTTACTGTGCATGTGAGTGCTTCCCTCTTTGCCTGTCCCCAAATACTCCTACAGCCAAGTGCAATTGTGCGGGCAGAATCCTTACCTAACTGAGTGATTTGCTGCCATGATTTCATGCACTCAGCTCTGCCCATACCCACCATTCACTTATGCCACTGAATCTAGGTAAAGGAGCACCAGAACAGACATTAATGACTCCCTGCTGTATTTAAGATGTATCCCAAATCCCATAGCATGGCTTGCCAAGTTTTTCTAGAATTCTACATGCAATTCATTTACGTTCACTGTGCTTTCCTGGTACCTCAAAACTTGTCACTTGGCTCCGTGCTCATGGCACAGGGGTTTTGGCTCCAGCCACATACACCAAGACTGGTGGGTTCGAATCCGGCAGACCAGCTAAACAACAATGACAACTGCAACAAAAAATAGCTGGTTGTTGTGGCAGGCACCTGTAGTCCCAGCTACTGGGGAGGCTGAGGCAACAGAATTGCTTAAGCCCAAGAGTTTGAGGTTGCTGTGAGCTGTGACACCACAGCCCTCTACCAAGGGTGACATAGTGAGACTCTGTCTCAAAAAAAAAAACATAAAAACTTGTCACTTGCCTTAACCTGACTGTCTGAATAGTTACCAATGCTGCTAGATAGTGCTACTATTTTATAGTTTTCTCAGCACTTGGTCTTTTAAAAAAGTTTCTTTAATGAACATTTATATTTTATCTTTTTGCAATATTTACTTATCACCAAGTACACGTCAAACACTGCCTTAGCCACTTGAGTATACAAAAAGGACAGAGTCATGGTCTTTTGGCAGCTGGTCTTTGGTATCTGTGCCCAACTTATATCTGTTACAACTTATATCTGTTGCAATAACCAGATTGAACTATTTAATGTCTTCAAACTTGCCCTACCAGGGTTCACACCTTCCTCTTTTATTGTTTCTCCACGTCTAACAGTAAAAATTCTATTCACCTCTTAAAGCCCATCTTGGATGCCTTATTTAAGAAGTTTTTCCTTTTCTCCATAACCAGATGCACATCTTGAATATTCTTAGCCCATGAAGGACATTTCTCTCATGGCAGTAGCTGTATTTATTAATTTTTCTCTGTCCTTAGAAAAGTCCTCTCATGAGACCTTAAATTCAGCAAAGGTGGGGACTAAAGCTTACATATCTGTGTCCATGTCCCTGCCCACCAGACTCAGTCCACACTGGTGCCCACTTATCTGCTCCCTGGCCCAGTTGGAGCTGGGGACCACCCCTGCCCACCCCACCCTCAGTCCAGACCCAGCAAGCCTCTGCTCAGAGGCCCAATTGTAGTCAGGGGCCCATGCCCCCCCATCTCAGGTCTCAGTTCACACCTGGAGGCTTGCCAGCTCTGTTGGAATCAGGGGACCATGCCCTTGCCCTCAGGTCTCAGTCCCCACCAGGCCAGCATCTGCTTGCTGGCCCAGTTGGAGCTCGGGACCAGCCCCACTTGCTGAGCTCAGTCCACCCAAGGCAACCACTCTCCTGCTTGTGGGCACTGTCAGAGTGGGGGGTTCTGCACCCCCTCCCACCAGTTGCAGCCCAAACTGAGGCTCAGCACCACCACTGGCTGGGCAAAGTCATAACCAGGGGACTGCTCCTCCTCCTGTGAGTGTCCTTTCTTCACCCTCCTTCTTTCCCACTAGTCACTGATTCTAGCCTGATCTTCGGCGGTCTACACCATGCCCAGATCTCTCAGGAAAAGACCAAACACTCTATGCTTTACAGGGGGCAGAACTTTAGACCACCGTGTGAGGGAGGAAGGGTGGACTGGGAGTTTGGAATTGTGGGGGAAAATATTTGTTCAATTTTATGCCTGGAGGGTGGTGTCTAGATTTGTAAGTGGGACCTCCCTGGAGAAAGAGACCCAGTGTTTAAGACTCTTTCCAGGCTCGG